TTACCAAATTATCAGACATCAAGACAGAATTGAAGATACTTGAAAAGCAAGCTTACTTCACTGAAGCATTGAACATCATTTGATTTTGTAAATAATCAGACAATAAAATTTCCCCTTTTACCATGTTGACTTTGAAGTTTGGATTCAGTGAGTGCAAGAATTCCCGCTGGTTGTAATGCTGAAATTGTTCGTTCATGTACTCTTAACGGGTCGATACTAATCACATTGCGCATGATAAATGATTTCTGATCCTCAGATAAACTGACCAGTTGGCCCAATGAACGAGTATACCAATTTTATGCGTTACAACTCGAATAAATGGACATGAATTCTTTTCTTGACTGTCGTTCATTGAATTTCCACTGTTTGAACTGAATATACTGGAAGCCACTTGTGAAATACTCACACATTTTGATGACATTTCTGTATAACCTGAGATAAGTGACGTATTTGTTGAATCTTCAGTCTGAGTAGCTTTATTCTCTTTGGGTAGTGAATGAATTGGTGGTTTCAGAGCGTATCAAGCCAGAAGCAGTTTAAGGACTTCTTGTGACAGATTCACTCCAATCGGAAGAGAATTCAGTGACTGTTCATCCATCATAGTGACTTGGTGCTATTGGTTTGTAGTATTATTCATGTTATTGTTTGTTTTTTGGATAATGTGTGTCTCTTCAATGGATGCTGTAGAGATTTCATTCATCTATCAGAAGAAAAGGAAGAGTTATGCACATGCCAAATGAATATAATCACTGATTTTGACAAAGTAGATTAACAACAATTTGCAAGAGAATTGATTTCCTTGTGAGATTGGCCAATAAATCACTGTAACTAACATTATTGATTAACACAGATCACTTATGACAACTATGCTGGTACTAACAAGTGACTGTGCGAAGTACTTCTGCAAGGCACAGCTGCAATAATTAAGTGAAATTAGTATTGTTTGAGGTATTCCGACCGAGATTATCCAATGTCATAACCTTAGGGAAACTGTCAAGTAATTATTTAAGCCTAGATAGATCTATTGCGGATTAGAGTCACTCAAATATATTGATCAAAATTTATAGGTAAAGAAACGGCGTTGTATAAGCGGGGTAAATGAATAATAGATCAGTGGAGTTTAATAACTTCACAATGGTGGATTTGACCCCCAGAAAGGTCGTGTGTACGCGTCACTGAGTAATAGCTTGTTAGATATGAAATAGCTCTACAGTACTCACTCATTCATATGATGTTTAGCTGAAGAAAGTTTGTAATGGTAAATATTTTTAGACAGAACTCAGGAGGATCTATTCGATAGTTGAATTTACATTTGCATATGTTGCTTGTCGCTCCATCACTTTCATCACTATCTAATCAAGTTCAGAGTAGTTCATTTTTTAAATGGTCATAGTCCAACAAACTCAATTACCAAAAACTGGTTGTTTCATCCAAGTATGAGATCCTTTAGCAATAGGCGCTCAAAATACATTACAGCTAAGGAACCTGAGATATCCGGATATCCTGGGAATTACAATATCTTCGAATCACTGGGTCGTATTCTATTACCTATATTATACGCAATCATAAACGTTCCCTCATACCAACAGACGCGTATTCACTGCTGACTAATTTCCATAAGAATCTTAGAGATATTTTAGCAAGTTGTCGGAAGTGAAACAAATTACTTCTTATGACGGTGAACGATGGTTGTTCTGTCTATCACACTGACCGAAAATTATCGGTGTGAATCATAAACGATGTGACCACTACGCAAAATAAAGGTATTGGGTTCGCTCCAATGTTCTATCACTGTGATACAATTTTGAATAGCACTAAACTTGGACGAAACTACTGTACAATGCTTCTTAATTTTCGGTTGTTTGTAATTGTCATTTTGAAACAAAAAAACACTATTTTCCGATACACAGATCAGTGGTTAAGTAAAGATGGATAATAGTTAAGAGCGGAATCCAAGATGCGAGTTTAATACACTTTGGGATTCGTCAGTTGGATCTACTTCTATCCTGGTGTTCACGTCGAGACTGGAATTTATTAAGATGATGGAGTGGATTTGTAGCTCAGGTGGATGATGTTGATGGAGTTTTGTTCTCTGAGCTGGATGGTTTGGTCATGGAGCCTTCATCGTTCATCATCAGCACAAACTTCAGATAGAAGTGAAGCGTTCGAATCTCTCCATATGTGGTTCAAAGCTTATCCTGTACACCTCGATGTTGATTGGTTTTTATTGACCTTAAATTCGTCATTGTTTACTTCCTTGTTTTGGTTGTGTCTCTCATTGGTTTGATTTTTGTTCCTATGTTTGTGAGAAAATGTCCTCACTTACATCAATACACGTGGACAAGTGCTGACACTTATTTCACTGGAAAAATTTGGAAATCTTGGATAGAAGAAATTCCAAAAACATCAGGGAATTTTTATGAGCTTGGCAGTCAGATCAATCAGCAATCAACAAGCACATTGAAATCGACCTAAATAATCAACCAATCAGGAAAATTATGCACAAATATGAGAACAAAAATCAAACCGATGGATCATACAACGAAAACAACGAAGTAAACAATGTTCAAATTTAAGGTCAACAAAAAACAATCAACATCGAGGTGTAGAATACTAGTGTGAACCACATATGGAGAGATTCAAACGCTTCACTTCTATCTGAAGTTTGTGCTGATGATGTCGTTCAGAGGAGCGATGAAAGCTCCACGACCAAACCATCCAGCTCAGAGAACAAAACTCCATCAAAATCGAATTTAATAATTTTTGTTTCAAGAGCTTAGTCCATTATCTCTAGGGCGTTTGAAGCTAATACTAATAGTTTTGAATTCCAGAGTAAAAAAAAAAAAAAAAAAAAAAAAAAAAAAAATGTGACTTGAACTTGGATCGATTTTTAACCCGTGCCAATTGTTGTGTCTTTGACTGAAAGATTAGAGATCAGTGTCTTATCGATCGGATCAGAAACGCGTAAAACCCGTAAGAACGGCCTAGAGTTTTGGTTGGCCCTGATTTCCTGTCTAGCCCAGCCAGTTGAGTCCAGAACGCAAGTTTCAGCCTCTAAGATATGAATCATTGTATTTCAGACATACTCTGTTTATATACCAACCAACTCGACCACAACGTACCAATAAAATAGAAAATAACATTTGTACAATAATTAGCCAGAAGTGGCCGTGAATGAGGGAAAACTAACGTTAAGCATCTAGTAGAATAGAAGAATAAACTGTGAAATCAGTTATGTAATACAGAATATTGATCGAGAGAACAAATGAAGAATCCATCTAAAGTAATTAACTATTCAGAGTAATTACATAAATGTTAGAAGCAAAATGTAAGTTGGATTTTCATCAAGGTTCATTTGACTCAACTTAAGTTTATCGAAGTAACAATGAAGATCATACATAAAGTTTCTGTTGTCTGTATATGACAGTGTTTTTCTTTTAAACAACAATATTCACATAATCACTTTACAAACTACTTCCAAATTCAGAAAGATACCGACTTCTATGAGCATTCTGTATTCGATTTTGATGCATAATATTCGGAGATGTGTTGTATGCTACTAATGTATGTCGATATAAGTAGTATGTAACACTAGTCGGAAGTGGAATGTTTACGAACCGAAGGTTGAGAGGATTAAAGTGAATAGAAGACAGAAGAAAACGGAAAGTAATCAAGATAACAATAGGAGTGAAGGAACAATGAAGCTTGTAAGAGACGATTCAAAGAAGATGTGCAAATGATGTATTTTGCATTAAACAATCAATCGGTCTTCCCCATTTCACTTCTTTGCTCGTTACGATATCACTGGGATATAATCAATACATTTTAATCACTAAGGAATTTTTAATATAAATGAATGAAGAATATACTTTTCAATAAATTCTCTTCAGTGTCTACAATCATCTTTGCCAAATGGATCATCCAAAATGTGGTCAGATTTAAGACAGAATGCATCGTTTATAAATGACAGTATGTGAATTGAGGATTGTTTGTGATAGAAAATAAAATGGAAACTTTGTTGCGAGGATGACTAAGATGAAGTGTTGACTTTACAGTAATGCAACGTGTTATCAGCAATCTGTCTATATCCATCAGACTAGGAATACTTTAGAAGAAGAAGAAGAAGAAGAAGTATGTTCAACCGCTCGTTTGACCAATTTCTGGATTGATTGGTGAATGATCATTAGGTGTGTGATACGGTGACACAATTCGATTAATGCTCGTACAACCCTTCATGGATGATTCATTTGGATAAGATGATTGTAGAAACTGAAGAGCATTTATTGAAAAGCATATACTTCATTCATATATCTGTATTCTAAGTAATAAAGACTGAACGTATTACACTTTCATATAAGAGTTTAATGTATGCTGATTATTCACTAAGTAGTATCTGATATCATATTGCTCTAGACCTTAATGATGTTGATAGAATTATATTGATCAAATGACAATATCTATCCAACGATCAAATAATCATAATAATGAATATTCGTTGTCTCATATTTCAAATGCTTTAGAATCATCAGTATAAGATTGTGGAAGTCGTTGAGTTTTTAAACGAGATCACGAATCAATGGATGTTGAACAACCACTGAAAACCTGGGAGTTCTGGATGCTCATTTCATCCTATTATAAGACTCTTTACCAATGTGCATGCACGATCTCTCACGTGGAACTCGAACTTAAGATCTTCGGTTCCACACAAATATGCTTAACCTCTAGACCAATAATCCGGATCTGTCGACAAAATACATTCCAGTCTGATCACTTTGTCCTTCTTTTCAACCTTCTCCTACACCGATCATCAATCTCCATAACCACAATTAAAACAAAACAAAAAGATCAATCCATTTGAATATATCAATGTGTAATGGTGATTATTTTTTTGTTTTAAAACACAGTTTCATGTAAAAAGAAAAGAGACAATTTTTGTCTTAAATGTAAATGATCCATGTGAATAAACACTTTGAGATTATAAATCATTGTGGTTAATTAGTTTAATTCGCTTTAACTGGTGGAATTTCGTCGAGATTATTCCAGTTTGTATTCAATATTGACGTGAACTGTTCATTCTACGATTATAAATATAGAAATATAAAGGTATAAGAATATTAATTATTATCAGAATGAGGATTTGTGGAGATTGTAGTAATTTTAATAGTTGAATTCATGAATCGATCTAAGCGAAACCACCATTGAAGCATTGGACGGTCCTTTTGTTCTAGTATTAGATTCCTCAGCAGTGCGAATCAACGATCCCTTATAGGAGGCTTCAACGCAGAACCTTCCTTATCGCACTTGACCTCTAGATCATTGAGCCAACCTACAACTATGGCGATGTATAAATTTCGTCAATTCATGACATTGCGCAACTCTTCCTCCATAGTCTGAGGTGGATAACTGTCTCCACCTGACACGAATCGAACTGCAATGGTCTTGGCTTCTTACTAGAACTCCATGAAATCCATATTGAAGTTAGTCACTAGTGCGCAACATCATGCATTCAAGTATTAAAATATTAGTTATGTAAAATAATATTAATCAGCTTTAAAATTCATAAATAAAATGTTTAAATGATGAAAGGTAATCAACTGGAAGGATTTCTTTTTGTAGACTTTGGTCTTATTATGTTCCATCATCAGAAAAAGTAGAGTTTTGAATATCGATCACCCTAACCAATTCAGTCCAACTGGCTCGTCAAATAAAATAACAATGTTCACTTTGTCCAACAAATTACTGTAGCTGGATCATTTGATTCCCTATAGTTGTGATGATCTGAAGTGTTATAGCATGAACTGATACACATTTATGGTGGGATCGAATCCTGGACCCACAGGTCACACTATGACTTCAACATGGTTGATCAAGTGAGTCTATCGTCTAATTGAATGTTCCATATGAGGTCGTTAGTGTACTGCTGCTATCCACAACTAGTTATGTTGTAGTATTTCTCTTAATTCAGTAGTTTCGTGGTGTAACTTCTCCAATCGTAAATATTTATGCAACACAATTATTTTAGATTTAATGTCGATTCATTTGAAAATTTGATTTATTAGAAATCGATACGTCCAATCTATTTCCTCGTGAAAGCCAAAATCGATTGTCTTCTTGACAATCACTAAGATCATGTTAACCATTGTGATCACTGATCGTTGTTGAAATCCTTCACTAATCAAATCCATTATGATTAGAGAAAGTATCGGAAAACTTTGAGGAAATCGATTTTATAAAAGTATTTGAATTGACGATTAAGTATCATGATAGACGTTTGAAAAACGTTCACAGGGAGAATATGTGTAACTGATTTATTTAACAGGAAAAATGCTGTGATTCGACCGGTGGTAAGGAATGTCCTCTCTCTCGCACGAAATGTTCTTTTGTGGACACGTGTTTACAACCACTGTCAGGGAACTCCTACTCACTGCCTTTTCGAGGCAACAGTGTTGTCTTTTTGCTACCGTATCTTTTGTAATTTCATTCGTTTGGAATATCATCTACGCCTTTTCCTGTCTCATTCTGTATTACTTCAAGTCTAGTGAAATGCAATGGTTAAAGGAATACTAAACAAGTGTGGATGTAACACTCATTTACTAAGTAGATATTTATGTAGTCAGCTTTGTGCAACACTGTGTTCATCTGTGAGAACTATTTACACTAAGCGTCAGTTCAATCAAGATACAAGAAAACGTACATAAGTCAGTAAAAACGACTTACCGTTAACTGACCAATTTTTAAATGTTCCCCATCAGATATTGTCACTCCAGCCACTAAATCAACCAGATCAATGGTATTTGGCAAATTGATACATGCATTCTTAATTTTTTGTAGACGTATTACATCAGGTGTAACTGTGGCACCAGTTAAATCTAAACTACGATTTCTTGTTCTCACTTTATTTGAAAACTATATTTAGAAAGAATCCATGAATAAGTTAATGTAAACAATTAAGTAAGTTAAACACTAACGACAAAATGAGAAACCTTCAGGCATTCACACACTCTGCATTTCTTATTTAAAAATATGGTTCCTGAGTTATGATCAATGAAGTAGAACGGTGACCCGAATATCTTACTGGTAGCATCTTAGATCTTGAAACTGATTGATACAAGTTTTGATCCTACACGAGGTACTAGTTCCATGAAGAATGAAACTACCCTCTCTATTCATACTAACAAGTGATAGCCTACATGAAGTCTACTCCAACGATTAACTACCGACTACCTCCAACCAGTTAACATGCCGTTATTACTGTTATTTCAACTACTTTCATTTATATCTTGTCAGTTTACTCTTAGTGCGTTTATCATTGAGGTGTGACAAAACAAACATATTTGTGTCGGATCCTATTTTCATCATCACTGATTGACTGAACAAGGACATGGAGTATGTGTAGATTAAATACGGACAATCAATCTAAACTAAATTTGTATTAGTTAAACGTAAGTTTAGTTCTTTCCAGAATTAGTGAGTCGTTAGAAATGCAGGAGAACATGATTGATTGGTGAAAAGATTTCAGTCGAATATTAAGCCGACTGCGGTTCAAACAGATCAATAATAATTTCCTTAACTGTGATATTAGTCAACGTGGATACAAGTCACATATGGAGAATCAAGTTTCACCAGCTCATATTCACCTTACTGGTAACATTGTTTTCTATTTCCATGTTCGAATTGAAATGAACTGAAGAGAAGACGAGGTGGAATTATGTTAATGTCGCCGTTCAGAGGAAACTTTAAATGAATGGCACTTTTGACAGAAATTAATGAGATCAAAGATCGAGAATTATAGGATAAAACCCGACTTGTGATTCAGATGAAACCTTAGAAATAATTACGACTGCTACATTATCGATCGTCTGGAGTCAGATCGCTCAATGTTTATAACAAAATATCATCTTACTAGAAGCAACAATCATCAACGTCATAAATTATCATGGTTTCCCGGCTTCATCAATCCTACTATTATCTAGATTTGAGTGAAACATAACTCAGACATCTCAATTACCACAGGTCTATAGTTTCACCAACCTTGTAACTATTCCTACACAGAAGCTGACTGTGAATCTTATGATTGCTCACATGATATTTCTACCACATCAAGTATTGTTACAGAGAAGTCTGCTATCAAACGTTCTCAACTGAAACTGATATTTCACCTTCATAAGCCAATTTTTTGTAAAAGAAGAAAAAGCTATATAGAATCCAAACATTTCTTCATCCTTCAGGATATCAGTTGTTTCCCGGTGAGTTTTACGTTTACATATCTGGTTGATATGTATTCATGTCCAACTGTCAGGACTGTCTTTCTCAAGAGTACAGGCTGGTGTTATTGACAAGTCCCAGTTAGCATCAAGCCTCTGAGGTCAAGTCGATCACCACCAACATTAATTCTATTAGAACACAATATCGGATAGAAAGAAAGTACATACAGAAAAGACAAAACTTACATTCGATATGGACGATCTGGCTGTTCTTAATTTACTATTCATTTTTATGCCAAACTGATTGTTATTTGCACTGTTACAGTATGACTCGGATACAAAACGCCATTGAATTGGAATTTTATTTCCCAAAATATTATTATCACTTCCATTTGAATGTGAATCAGTCGTGAATGATTCATCTTGCCTCTTATTGACTGGATATAATTTAGGTACACTGAGTAGATTTCCTTCATCGTCGAAAACTAGTTTTCCAGATCCATTTATTCGTTTGTTTTGTAGCTAAATATAATTTTAGAAAATGCTCCAATTCAGCCTGAGACAGTATTTTACTAGTTCTGTTTAACTACTATCAAATAAAAAAGTAGTTTGCGCTTTTATCTAAAAATTATGAATGATCGCATTCTTTGTCTTTTACAACTGGACTGAACTGAAATATCAAAGTTAGTTTTCTTTATCGTGTAATCTGATGTAACATATCCAAAATTTGCTGGTACTACGAGGCAGAATGAATGATATTGAGAGATGGCCAATACAATGTTCGAAACGGTGAAATTAAGTGTTCAAATTTTAATGTACGTAGAAAAAAAGACAAGACCGACCAAAGTTAGACAGCCATTGAGAACCTGGAATCACTAGGTAATCGGTTCTCTTTAGTGTGAGCCTTATCATCAACGGTTATCTATGACCCATAAAAAGGATTCCAGTCAGAAATCAAACAAAGCTTTCTGTTGTCTGCCATCACACATCTAACAATAAACAAAACTGACAGAATATTTTAGTATATACACTCAACAATGACCATAATTACCATAGTTTCAGGCAGTGGTTTCATTGGTTTCTTTCTAGTTAGACTATATTCTTTACTGGTATTGTCGTTTTTAACTGAGATATTCTTTTGAAGAAATTGAAAAAAGAATTAGTAAATTATCTCACTTCCATTGAAACATTTTCTATAGATGTTTTCCATGTAGAATCTTTCAACTGTTTAGTTAGTTGAGGAATGGAATCTCCTCGATCGGTAGGCATACGGGTGTGATCTATAATTGAAAAGAAAGTTTATTAGATGCCAATATCATTTAAAAGCGAAATAACTATACGATTTATTTTTTAGCTTGATTACATTTAGAATATGGCTAGGAGCGATGTTACGAACATGAGTTTCATCCTATTTGAAACTTGTCAATTAGATATGCCTGCATCATATTTTTGATATTTACAGTGAGACTAAAACCTCGTTATAAATACAAAGTCATTATCCATTAAGCTACCAAGAGCATATAGCCGGTAACTTCTTTAAAAGGTATGAAGTCATTAGACAAGGTTTGTAATTCCCGGTTGTTGATATTCAGGACTGGGATTGATCTGTCCCGGATCCCATGTGTGCACCCCGAGTAGATTGCCTTGATATGACTCATTGATAAGGACGATATGTGAATCCTTGATTTCACCTCTATCTGTATGCCAGGTATAATGACTATCTAGTCAAGATGCAAATGTGCCAACATAAACTGGTCGACTAGAGATCTCAGTAGTGACAACGAAAAATTATACTGACAAGTGACTCATTTTACGATGGTAGATGATGCGATTGCAAATAACAACATTAGGAATGAGCTTATATAAATCATTGAATTAAAACCGTGTTATGTTACAGATCAACAGAAGCTTGACCCATATGTATTCTGGTCATGGATTTTAAAATTTTACTTAACATATGCGCAGACTCAATTTGACATTCTATATGAGTCATATTAACATTAACAATTTTATTGTATTTTGTTTATCACATGCTCTAAACGATGAACTTTGCCCTTAACCTGGCCTTCTTTTCGAATTATTAATTTGGATAGATGAACCGTAGAATCTGAAGAGAATTTATCGAAAAGAATATTCTTCGTTCATTGAAATTACTTACCGACCCATGTTAGACACTCATTGAGAACCTGGAATAACTAGGCAGTCAGTTCTCTTTACTGTGAGTCTTATCTGCAATGAGCATCTATGACCCATAGAAAGAAGTTTAGATCAAGATCAAACAAAGCTTTCCTTTGTCTGCCACAACACATTGAACAATAAACAAAACTGACAGGATATACTGTCAAACATGACCATATTTACCATAGTTTTAAGTAGCTGCTTCATGGGTGGCTTTTTTGGGTCCCTCCTTATAAGATTATATTCTTTACTGATATCATTGTTTTCAATTGATATATTCTTTTGAAGAATTTGAAAAAAATGAGAAAATTATCTCACTTTCATTAATACATTTTCCATAGATGATTTCAATGTAGAATCTCTCAACTGTTTGAGTGGTTTAGGGATGAAATCGTTGTGTTCAGTAAGGATACTAGTGTGATCAATAATTGAAAAATATTCATTAAATGCCAACATCATTCGTCAGTATGATTTATTTCATTGTCTTGATATGCATAGTATGTGACTAAGAGCGATGTTTCGGACATGAGTTTTATCCTATTTGAGATTTGCCAACTGTATCCGCCTGTGTCACATTGTTGATATTTACAATGGAACTAGAACCCTGTTATAAATACCAAGTCGACATCCATTAATCGATCGAAGACATATAGTTGATAACTTACTCAAAAGGTATGAAGTCATTAGACAAAGTTTGTAATTCCTCGTTGTTGACAATGAGGACTCCAATTGATCTGTTTCTAATGCCATGTGTTCACCCCGAGTACATTGCCTTGATTGCTATTCATTGATAAGGACTAAATGTGAGTCCTTGATTTCATCTCCATCTGTGTGCAAGACCGCATCGTACCATAAAATAGGTAATAACATTCTTACACGATGAAGCCAAAACGTTGCTGTGAACGTGGGAGACAGTAATTAACAAACTGGGTATAATTTAAGGACAGTGAATCGTATAATAATAATCTATAGGTCAAAATGAAGCTTGTATTAAGAGGAATATAGATAAACACAATCTAATTATTGAATAGTTATACCATAAGAATGTATAGATAACATTAGTCCATTAATAAATCTCAGAAGTCATTCGTAATTTAATCTGCGCTAGGATATAACACCTGCATTCTTTTGAAGATCCGAAGTTCAGATCCTGATTTTTAAAAAATATGTGTAACTTTAAATTCTCCAACATTATCCTCCTCCATGAAATAATGCAGGATCGTCATATCTCCAAGTTACAACTATTATGACCTTATTCAAACCATGTTTCTCACATTGCTAAATGGTGATGATGTACGACGTCTGATTTGAGGTCATCAGGGTTTATTTCTTCTGAAACATTTTTTCCAATTTCATTGGGAATCTCATTAGCGGATAATTGGTCACTGGAAAATCAACATCTAACGAAATTGGATAAGATTTTTTATCATAATTTGATTCAGCCGACATATCTTTCTCAATTTTATGAAACATGTCATCAAAATCATGTGTATTATTATGAGAACCCATATTTGGTACATTGAAATGAGAAATTCGATAAAAAGTTGATTTACATGAGCTGTCTCCCAATGATCTCGAGCATCATTTAGTACGATTGGGTTCATCGTACTGCTCCAGTTATTTTCTGGATATGAGTCCACACAGCAGGTAAATTTACTTCAACTTGGTTCAATATGAAAAAGATGCTCATCAGTCCATCTTGTTATCCACTGAATATTTTCAAAGTAAAGTAACCTTAATAAATCGGGATTCAATGGCGTGGTAATTGTTCAATAGTCACTGGGTAAGTGTCAGATGAATCCTGGAATTTTCGACGAAGTGTTGCAAGAGATTGAAGTATTTACTCTTGACACTAGTGATCTTTGACTTTCAGTGATTGTTTTGTTGAATGAATATCATTGGATTTTTAAGGAATTTTGTTTATCCTTGTTTAAATCTCACTTCAGTTTTTGGGGGCTACTTCTGTTGAATAGATATTTGGTGGAAATGTTCACTATGAGACTTGTCAACTGTATGTTCCTTTATTTCACCTAACATCTTCGTCTCTGAAATATTAAAATAGAATATATAAAGCGGAACGTTTTCAACCTTCAATTTGCTTGTTCAAATGATACAATTCATTCTTTCTGGACATTAAAGCACCTGACGAATCTTGGATCATTTCCATATGACATCACGAATCTCAACAGTATCACTGAAATCACCAATATTTTGCAACAAGTGGAAGTAAGGGATAACTGGTTACTCTGTCGTTTTGGTCTTCATTCAAAGATATAGAATTCGAAATCACTGTGCTTTAGTGGAAAGAGTGCTTTGATCCAGGACTACTTTATGTACAAAACATCGAGAGAACTGATAGTGTTCCACGTGACCTTGGAGTTTTGCAAGGTTTGAAACCATTCTTAACTTATCAACAGGATAAGTTATCATCTAATCAGAAACGTGACATGCTTCGCATCATTTTAGATGTTTTTTGGAGACGTCTGTTTAAAACACACTGGTAAAATGTTTCTCAGCGTGTTTAAGACCCATTTTCGGAGGACAACTCAATATCAGCCCCAACAACTTTCAAAAATAGGACTTCTTCTTTGCATCTACTTTTCGTATCATGATCAATGCCTCATAAGTGGATTATCTTCTTCATACAGGTTATAACCATAAAAAAGCAATTACTGTGGCCAATTTTTTTGAACGTTACTCAACGTCCGGAACATCAATCAAACAATAAAAAGAGGTGTGGTGGCGGTGTGACTACGCTTGTAAACGTGGACTGAAGTCCATCTTCGTTTGAGTGTTTCAAGTTTTCAAATGACTTTATCGACTTTCTAACTCTAGGGTTCGTCTAAAACATTCGAATGAATACAAATATGTTTATTTTACCAATATCTACGTGACTTCACACTGCACATCATCTGCGCTATCTGTTTTCGCTGATGAATTCACTGAGTTCGCTGTTACCGCCATCGGAGATTCACTTCCAGTTGTACGTGGTGATTTCAATTCATGTGACTGTAGCTTCCTTACGTCACTAGGCCACCAAAATGAAGTAGATTTTCCTGCTTGTTTGTATGCTCATTTGGACTCCGTTTTCAATAATGATGTGGGTATATATGTGACTCGTAAACGCGCTACATTATCTAGCTCGGATCACTGTATAATTCGTGTTCTACCTAAAGTATATGGAAAGCATGGGAAGAGTACACTCTCACATCAAATCAAGAAAGTCAAATATAGGAATTACTCAGAAGAAAAGATCCGAAATCTGAAAAACATGTTTCATACGACTAACTGGGAATTATTTACAGATGACTCACTGGAGATCACTACTGATGTTATCACTTGGTACCTTAAATTCTGTTTTGACATTTGTTGTCCTACTGGTCTTACAAACCTAGAGATTAAACGTCTCAATTCTATGTTTACTCAAAAACGCTTGTCTTGCAAAAACTCTCCAAGTATGTGGAAGCTCTTTAAAGAACTTACAGGTGACAGGCACATTAGAAGCGATAACCAGCTGAATGTCAGTCATCTGATGTAATGCTATCTTCATCCAAAGGTTTATAGAATAGCTGCCTTCCTAGATTCACTGAAACTGATGTCCGAAGATGTCTCCGGTCACTTACTTCATCCCCATGTTTAGGATCTGATGGTATCCCAAACCTCCTTTTTTAAAAATGTGCTGACGTCGTATGTTATCCATTCACGACTATCTTTAACAGATCCTTCTCATCTAATCTCATACCGAAAATGTGGAGAAAGATGAAGATAACCCCTGTATTCAAGAAAGTAACTGGTGATAAGAATGTGAAATTTCAACCTATTGCAATAACTTCACCCTTCCTCAAAATAATGGAAAAACTATTAATACTACCACTTCAGCCTACAATTAGAGAGCACATTGCTCCCTATCAGTTTGCTTACAGATGCAAAAGAAGCACCTTAGATGCCGCTGATGCTCTGCATCATAATATAGTGTTCAACTTAGAAAAGGGTAATAACTATGTTCGATGCGCTATTCTGGACTACACTTCAGCTTTTGATTCTATACCAAGACAACGTTACACTACCAATTTAATCAGCGTCAACAATGACAGCTGGATAA